GAATAATAAGATGGGACCTGCTGCCTGGTATTCAGACCTATTGGCATGCTGCATGCTGTCAACTACCATGCAGTTTCATTTTGTTTGATTAAGAAGGAATCAATTAACTTATCTGGTCTAATCAATGAAAGCTTGAAATGCTACTGTGTGAAAAGTTATCATGGGCCTGCCCCCAAAAGTCTGACTCAGATTAAATAAATGTACTGATGTTCTCGTTCTCATTTCTATTCAATGAACCTCAGCCTAGAAGTCACCAACATGTGATTTCCCATCAGTCGGGGCAGAGTATGGCACCCACCACATGCCATCATGGCTTCCCTGCTGCCTCTGCCTCCTACTAGAGACCACAAGCATATTAACATTACCAAAATAGCTACAATAGTTTCCACACAGTTTCTCTAGGCTGAAGTTTAGCTGGGGCGTGGGGTGGGGGGGGAGAGGGGAATCCCATGCTTCACTAAACAAAAGCTACAATGTCAGAGCTTTGGCAAGTAGCAAAGCAAATGGCAGTCATATTCTAACGGTCTTTTGGATTCCTCTAGGATCAGAAGTTTACAGGATATGAGAGACAATGGGGTCTCAGAGGGTTTTCCCTGCACTTCCATAGTTCCACACCAAGCTCTGACCACTAGACCACATTGCCTCTCTGTTCTGTGAGGCACAACTGGGGTGGGAGGAACCTTTCTTTCTGCAGGAAAGAAATCCTATTGCAAGAAAGCCCAAAGTAAAATTTTAAAGAAATTAAGTTTTAGTAGTTCAGAAGAACTTGGATGTAGGTGGAGTCACCAGAGAAAGGCACAGGAAAGGACTGCAGGCAGAATATGACACATAGTTTATCTGGGCACAGAAACCTTAGCAAAATTCTGTGTTTCAAAAAAAAATCATAAACATGACATAAATATGCATGCATCTATTTCATTCCCCAAGCTTATTTCCCAAGTGAAATAGCAAGGCTTGCAGAATCTGAACATTTTAACAGCTAGCAGAAAGGTTAAGGTGTGACTTAACAGCAAACACATGTGCAAAAGAAAGAACCTGGAGGACAGTATGAAGAGAAGGTTAAACCCTTCCACGGAAAAGCATACATTTCTATATGGCAGGTTTTTGCCCCTATGTGAAGATTGATATACACACCTCAGAAATTAAAACAAAACAAAATTAACGTGTACTTGAATGGATCTCCAGTCATAAAAGCTACAACGTTTGCTTCAGAGGCTATGAGCACTCAGACAGAATTGCAATTGAAACCAGTATTTTGTTTTGGTGTTGCCACAGTTATAGGAATGTCTAGAGACGCCAGGACAATGCTATACCTGTTTCAGCATCTCCCCTCTCCCACCCTATAGCTGTTGAATAAAAGGCAAGCCTGCGCACTCGCCTGTCCTTACAGATAATGTTCAGAGGCCTACCCCTGAGCCTGCTGATGTAAGCAATTAGGCTGCGAGGGGGCCTTGACAGAGCGGCAACACATTTCTGGAAATCCAAGCCAGAGGAGGTTCATATAGCCCCATTACTGCAAGCAAACGTTAAGGGTGCAGTCCTATGCAGGGCTGAACATATACAGGACTGCACGCTTAAAGGCCTATTTATTCCAAATTGCTTAAGTTTTAGAAGCACATTTTGCGACTGCTAACTTTATTTGCTTTGATTATATTATGCATAGCCAGATACTGCTATCTTTTGCTACTATTCTTTTAGCATCTATTGTTACTGTTAATGAGTCTTACTGCTGCCTTTTATGCTTTTATTTTTTTGCATTACTTAACATTCTGTATTTATCTGACAGAAACACCTTGTGAGAACACAGTCCTAAAAAGCAGCAGGAAAATATTTTAAATAAAAATAATATGAAGTATTTGTAGTGAAGGTATAGGTGAATTCTATCGCGGATGGGGAATTTATACATAAAAGCTTTCACTTGACATTGTACACATATATCAACCAGTCTTATGTGTTGTGTGAGTATGAATGCTTTACTGCATGGGACTAGCACAGCTGCCCTGGGACAAGGGCACTGATTCATTCTACAGTCAACTCCAATCCCATTTTGGTAGCTGGGAAAAAAGAGGAAACAGAAATATGAAGTCACGATTTCTGTTCTTTCATAATTAGAACTGTACAAGGAGGTAATATTGCCTGTGGAGTCTGAGAAAAACTGCATAGTGAATACACAAGTCCCAGCTATGCCCCACAAGGCACCCTCAGCTTGAGGGCACAAGGCCAGGAACTGCTTCTTCTAGCAAAAAAGGAGCAATGCATTTGGCTAGACCAGCCTGTTTCTTAAAGCATATACATCCTTTCAGGTCCACACAGGAGGAAATCAACAGTGTTAGGAAGAGACAAATGCTTATCTTACAGGACTCCGACTGCCTGTTATCTAAAGGCTCCAAGTTCAAGCAACTCACATTTTGGGCACCAGCATGGAACCCTGCCAGTACTTGTCATTGCCTAAAGCATGTTCCCCTCCAGATCCACGTTGTTGGACTGCAACTCCCATCCTCCTGTGCCAGTACAGACAGTGCAGAGGGATGATAGCAATTGTAGTCTAATAACATCTGAAGGGTCACACATCCCCCTCTCTGACTGAGGACCTCCTGGAGACAGGGGCTCTGGTGGGCCTGTTTCCTGGAGGCAGCTGAAGGCTCAATTAACTTTTAATTGAGGTTATTTTACGCAAAATTGACTGCCTAGCTTTCTCTTCTCTGATATTTAAATAATATCTGTATTGCTTATTATCACCATCATTTCTACCTGTGTATCTATAGATATAACATGTGCACATTTTATGCAAATTTCTATCCTGTGGGCCTGGGTCTCAAACCTTTTAGGGCACAATCCCATGGAATGCACCTTTGTTGCTCAGGAGACCCCAGACTCAAAAGCTGCCAAGATTCCTGTTCCTTGTCAGCAAGATGAAAGGAATAACAGAGGTGATCTTGGCCTCCCTGTCCCGTGAGCTTTGAGTTTGTCTCTTCATGGCACCACAAGAGGAGGAGGAGGGGAATGGAAGCAGGCTAGAGGCTACTCGGGATAACTCAAACCCTGGCCTCTCTTGACTTTTCCCCATCCTACCCACCAGAACACCCCCTTCCCGCCTCTCAAAAATGGATTTTCCAGTGCTGAAGAGGTGGCTGCAGGTGCTCTCCTCACCACATGTGAGGGGGCAGATCTCCAACCTCCATTTCTAAGATCAGGGTCAGAACTCCAATTCTCCCTTCCAAGGTCAGCACCCTTCCTCTGCCCCTTGGCCCCCACTTTTCTCTTACTGCAGCTCCTCTCCACTCCAAGAGCTTTTCCCCTTCTAGGCTTCCATCTGCTCTCACTACCTACCCAGGAGAAAAGCTACTCCAGGCACAGAGCTTGAAAGAGAAAAGCTCACCCCCCATGGCCTCTTCACATCCATTCAGCGCACAACTCATGATGCCATCATGCCTAATTAGGTACCTCACCAATGCTGGTGAGGAAAGTGGAAGCAAGACAGGTTGGGAAAAGAAGAAGAGGGATGAGACACAGGAGGGAGAGGAGAAAAGAGACTGGTGGACTATTCCATTTGGGAGCAGAGAACAGAATGTAGGCTATGCTTTCCACCATGATAAGGAGGGAACCCCCGCCCCCCAATATAGTTTTTACATGTAACCAACCCACTGGAAAAACAGTTAACCAAAAGCTGCAGAAAAACAACAGACAAAGTCATTCACTCGGAACAGATTTCTCAGAACGAGGTCATGAGAGAAACTTGTGCCACCACATCAGAGAAGGAAGGAGTCATATGGGATTAAGTTGCTGGCTTTTCACAGTGCTAACTCATTGGGCTCACCCCTGCTCTAAACCTACAAAGGAGGCTATAAAAGGTCTTAACGGTTCAGAAAGGTTATGCTTAGCTAAACTGAGTGCCTCTCATTTATTTCCCTTTCCTTTTCAATAGAAAATAGGGGAGGTTAAAAGTTTTGGAAGGGCAACAGCAGTCAATGTTTTTCAGATGCTCCACAGACATCAGAGTCATGAAAGAGCCAATGTGATCCCATGAAATGTCAGGATCTGGGCTTGGGGTCAGATCTCAACTCTTCAGTTCAGACCCCCTTGGAGATTCCTCTGGAGTCCCTTGTCACCGGTCTACTCCAAATGTCTGCTGTGAGAAATGAAGCCTTTCAAACTGGGGTTGTGAGCAGTGAGAGGCCACACTGGAGCTTGCTTAACCAATCAGTCATATGGATCTGTAAACTAACAATCACAATCAAAGAACAAAAAAACCCTCTAATCTTGGGGCAATGTGAATTCATGGGAGGTTATCTAGAAGAGGAACACAGGTTCCACAAAGCTCTCATTCTTCTCAGCATCTATTCCAGACCTTATAAAGCATCCTTCCCAATCTGATCCTCTCCAGCCATGCTGGCTGGAAAGTATGGGAACTGTAGTCCAACATATCTGAGAGCATCACATCAGGGAAGGGCACTTTACAGGATTGGAAAAGCTTGCAAGGGGCAAAAGATATGTTTTTTTCCTTCATCTCTTGTGTCCTGGCCATGCTCTCTCCAGACGAAAAAACATGTGTTTTGAAAATGCCTGAAGCAACAGTTTTCACTCATTTTGAAGGTTTATCTGGATTCACCAACATGCTGATTCCACAGAGAAAAAGGTAACCTTTATGTTAGAGGGCATGACATGTCTAAGGTGCCTCTGTAAGTTTTGCAATGTCAGCCCCATCAGCAAAGTTGCTGCGGTTGTTTTCCCCCAGCCTCCTGGTAATCCCTGGCACACAAAGGGTGCGTATGCACGTCCGACTGCAGGGCGAGGGCAAGGCTGATTGCAAGAAGTGGCAGGGAAAGCGTTAAGCGGACTTTTCCTCCGCCTTTCCAAAAAGGCATTATTTCTCGTCAAGTTTCCAGCCTTCCAAGGGCTCCGTTCCTTAATACACACGCACATAGCTGCGACAAAGAACCACACCAAGACACACAGCGTGTAGCTCACAACAGCCCGTGAGAACGCATGGGATGACTCACGTGTCTCCGTCCTCGCACAGGAACGAGGAAGACCCCAGCACCTGCCTGAGCCTCTCCTCCTCTTCTCCTTCGGCCTCCTGCTCCTCGCTTGCAGGCGTAGAGCCCTCTCCTTCCAACCCCGCTAAGGACTCGACGAAGGACGAGGAGCCGTAGCTAGAATCCAGCCGCTCGTCTGCGTCCGCGGCTCCCTCTTTGCCAATGCACGACGGATCGGGAGCCCCCCGGGCTGCCAGCGATCGCGGCTCGCCTTCGCCCAGCTGGCCGTGCAGGGAGCGGATGGAGCCGATGCCCGAGTCGCATTGCCCGTCCTCTAGATACGAGCCGCCGCCTTCCACCTGCGCCTCTTTCTTGCCGTCGCAGCTTCGAGCCGTCGACATGATGCTGCGGCAGCAACGGAGGGAGCGGAGAGGCTTTCCCCCGATGGCTTGGCCAAAGAGAAGCTCGGCTCTGGCCCGGCGTTCAGAGGCCTGGAAGGAGCAGCGACCCAGGCAGCCCGGCAGGACGAGTCGGCGGAACCTGCATGCCGAAGAGGAGGAGGCGGAGCAGAGGGCAACCCAGCGCGTCGGTCCGCAGAAGCCTCGACGCGCACCCCGATACCTCGCCAGGCGGGGCGGCTCCTCCCACCCGCGCTGAAATGAAGTCCGCCTCCACCCGCCGAAGATTCCGGATTCGCAGCGGCCCTCTAGCGGCAGGCAGTGGGACGTCACCCTCCCTCTCCGCAGGCGTAGCGGCGTGGGGGGGGCGGTGCGCTGGAGAACAGCGTGCTTGCTGCACTCACCGAGTCCGGAGAAAAGCTTTTCGGACGCTGGCTGGTACTGAACATGTGAAGGGGGTAGAGAGAATAGGCCTTCCAACCCAAGCCCTGAATTCCCAACACACGCGCCGTTCGCACTCCCTGCCACCACGTGTTCGGCATCAGTCTGAAGGGGGCCCACAGGGGCGCTCGTGTTTGTGCAGTCGCTCTGCAGCAACCTAAGGAGAATTCCCATGGAGTGTCCACTTCGCGCGTCCATCCGTATTTATATAGGTTACTTCAAACTAAAGCCAAATCCACATCAACGGGTATGCGTGTTGCCATTCAAAAGGCGGGACTAACCCATGTGTGAACTTTCTCAAACCCTTCACGTGTTCAGCCCCTAAAAAGGGTTATGTCACCGTGAACTTAACTATGAGTATTATGTGTACAGTAAAACTGGAATGCATTCCAGATTTTTTAAAAATTACTGCTTGCATGCACTTCGTACATGAATGCATTTGTGCAAGACTAGTATTACGAAACATTTGAGTTGTGAACTATGTGGCAGTAATAACCAATGCATAGTCCGAAAACAAAACCAAACCTTTGTTTCCTGTATGCACTTTGTGCCTGCATGTAGTTTGCATAGGACTAATGAGCATAATCAGTTATTTGATCTATTTGTTTTGTGGTGTATTGTGTGAAGGGATATCCTACTCACTGTTTTTTCTTTGGCCATAATAAAGCTGTATCAATACAAAACAAGATGCAAGAACAGCATTGCTTGTATGGGCACATATTTGTTTGGTTCTTTTATTCCCGGCGCTTGAATGCTAAAGAAAGGGGGACAGTGGCTGTGTTCAGACTAAGTAATACTAAGCAATGCAGTGCAATTATCACATTACTTGATATCTCATCTTGTATACTGGGTTGATAAATTTGCATGATTTCTGTGCATCCATAATTTCCAGGCTTCTCCAACTTCCTTCCAAATGGCAGCATGTATCCCATCAGCCCCTGCAGCTGAAAATCAATCCCAGCATGCACCACTTCTGCTTGCCTTGCCTGCCTTGGCCCACATGCTACCCTGCATGTGGCTGCAGCTGGCTATCCCCCTCCCCCTTCCTGCCCCCTTTTGGCGGCTCAGCAAAGCAACTGCCTACTCACTAGAGTAGCCCTTCCTCAACACAAGCATCCTCACCCACACAAGCACACCTCTATCCTCTTCCAGCTTGCACATGAATCCATGCTCCACCCCACTTGCAGGACTTGCAACACTGCTGGGGCTGCCCCCCTGCAGCTGGGCACCTGTAGCGCATCAGTGCAGGCACCATGCCAGGGATGGAGGGAGTTCATCTTGCCAGACAGACTTCCCAGGGGGTGCCCTTATGGAAAAAGCAGAAATGGGAAAGCAGAAATAGGGAGAGCAGCCAATCAGCACAGCTGCAGCCAGCTGCTGCTGTCTGAACAGGTGCTGGGCGGAAAAGGACAACAAAATATGGAGGCTGGAGCATCTGTTGCAGCTGTAGCTACTCTGGCCACCAAACTCAATGGTGGAACTGTAGAAACCATGCAAAAAACATTGTAACTAGAACACATGCTATGACAAGCCATGGTGAAGCACGGGTATTTTATGAGTGGCTTTTCTTTTCATGGTTTCATGGAAAGCAACACGGTATGCTTCCCGGTAGATGTTGAATTTGGATGTAACAAGTCATGCCTGCACAGTTTCCAGCATGGCTTGCCGTCATGTATGAACACAGCCATTGTGTCCTCAAGAACCCTAGAAATCAGTTTCTTAGCTGGAAGCTAACCACAGCCTTGGATAATGTGAAAAATTGGGACAGGTTAGTTCAGTTGTAGTTACTCAGCAGTGCAAAAATGTACTTTGGACCTAACTCAAATATGGTGGGGAGGGAGGGAGGGATTAATTTTCCCTTTCCCTCATCCTGACACATGCTCCCCCCCCCCCCCCAAAAAAACTTACTCTGCATGATAGTTAAGCTTGGAAAAGTCTTCCATTGTTGTGGCATGATATGGGTCAGCGTGAAAATTAAAGGTCAGACTGTTTGTCCATCTAGTCCCTTATTGCCTAGAGCAGGAGTGGCTATAATTACCTGACTTCAAGGAAGGGGAATTACTTCCTGGTTGGTTGTCCAAAATTAGAAAAATGCTGTGGGCACATTTTTGGGGCTCCTCAGGTTAGTTAGACATTAAAAAAATGAGGCAATAGCCTAATGTCATCTATGGCAGCACTAAGTTCCAGCTTATTTAAAAAACAGCCAAAATAGTGGCACCATTTGGTACTTACAGTGCTGATGGGGAGACCAAGTGGAGGCTAAGACATGATTAGGGACCCTGGAGTCACCACAATTTTGTTCAAGGACAGATTAGATGGAGTATCTTGTTCTCCTGAGAGATTCCCAGAAATGTAGTATTCAGCTGGATACTTTTTTGGACGGCCACTTCTTAGTGCTCTTATGGGATCAGTTCTTCCCTTTGACAATTCAGGCAATGCTCCGGTCCAGCAGTGGCAGGCAGTGTTATTATTATTATAACATTTCTATGCCGCCCCTTGCCGAAACCTCGGGGCGGCTTACAACATGATAAAATACATTGAAATACAATAGTACATAATAAATTACCATTAAATACAAAAATACAAAAAATACATTGATTTACAAATATAAAATTAAAATTATCAGTATAAAATAAAAATATAGGAGGAGAAAGAGAAGGAAGAAGAAGTTGCCCTGGCCAGATCATATGTTTTAACAATTGAAATGTTGTTTAAATAAAAAGGTCTTTACCTGGCGCCGAAAAACCAGTAACGACGGTGCCAGGCGGACCTCTTTGGGGAGTGAATTCCATAGGTTGGGCGCCACCGCAGAGAAAGCCCTCCTCCGGGTACTTACTCTCCTAATTTCTTTCATGGAGGGTTCCTGGAGAAGGGACTCTCCCGCAGATCTCAAAGGGCGGTCGGGCATATACGGACGTAAGCGCTCGTTCAGGTAGCCAGGACCCAAGCCGTTTAGGGCTTTATAGGTCATAACCAACACCTTGAATTGGGCCCGGGCTTCAATGGGAAGCCAGTGAAGCTGACGGAGGACTGGAGTCATGTGAGCATAACGCCCCGTCCCCGTCAGCAACCTGGAAGCTCTATTTTGTTGTAGATGGAATACTCCTCTGCATCATTTTGCAGGGGGAGTAAAGTTTTCTCTCTGGGTATATGGATGAAATGAATTTCTCTGGGGCAAATGGCACAGGAGACCCAAGGACTCTAGTCCTAGGCACCAGAGTAGAGAGTGGAATCACCCTAGGAAAGAATAATAGGGAACAATATTAAAAATCATTCAGATTTATTCTCAGAGCTGAATCATGCCATCATAACAGAGGCTCAAACAGAAAAAAAAGTTACCCTGATGCCAAGGCAAACATACGACTCAAGACAAAGAAAACAAAGAGCAGGTAAACAATCTCCTGCATGCTGCCTTGAAGAGGTCCCCAACACGGTGCTTGTACGGGCAAGCATTTTTTTCCTTACATTTATAATTTAGAAAGTGTTTTTAAATAAACATACATGGATTTGTGTGAAACACATACAACTTTCTAGCAATTATATATAGGCATCAATAAAATCAGCCCAAATAGTTTTAATTATTTTATTTACTTATTATTAAACTTATAGTCTGCTTTATTAGCCCAAGGGCTCTCAAATATCCAAATGACTATCCATTTTATGTTGGAATTTATATGCCACCTGCCCACATACTGAAAACATTGTGAAGTTCTCAATCCACTGCATTATAGGAGAGGAGTTTTTACCTTTTCAGTTTTGTAATACCAATCTTTGAGTTGTCAAATGGACATGGATAATTTATTTCTTCTTCCATTTATTGATTTCCATGACGCAGGTAAAACAATTAAAGAATGAATATACATCAGTGAATATGCTGTTCCAGGTACAAAATTTATCTCTGTAAATAAATTCACCAAAAGAAGCATCCAGTGGACATTGCCAAAACATGTTTCACACAAGCATTCATTGTCTTGCACCACCAGCAATTAGTTGAATTAGACAATTGGAAGACAATTGCAGCGTCCGCTAGGCATGAGATAAACCTTTTGGTTAACTAGGACACAGTCTAAGATGTGAAAAGAAGACTCTGAAGTGGGGATCCGCTGATTATGTGTTTTATGTTGGTGCTCACAGCAGTTTCTCAAATTTCTAGATATGCTGAAAGGTCCAAAACAATTGGGAAGCCCTGGCTCAGAGGTTGGCCTCAGGATGGATCAAAACAAATGGAGCAGCATCTGGTTTTGGACACTGAACAGAAGGCAAGGGGGGTTTCTTGCCTGCTGGTGAATTCATCCTCTGGGATGATGTACATCAGGGCTGGGCAACTACTGGCCTTCTGGATGTTTTGGCCTACAATTCCCATCAGTCCCATTAGCTATGCTGACCAGGGCTGATGAAATGTGTAGGCCAAAACTCCTGGAAGATCACAGGTGCTGATTTATTTTACAAAATAGATTTTTCTTTTTTTAAAAAGGGGCTGTACTTGGCCTGGTCAGGAGGTGGGGAGACTTGGCATTTTTTTCTTGCCAAGGCTTTTGATTGGCTAGGCCAAAGATTCTTGCAGTTTTGTCACAGGGTTGGTGGTATTTGCATGTTTTCTCGGGTCACAGGGAACAATTTCTCATTAATCAAGCTAGAATCATGTATGTTCCATGGATCCTTTGCCTATGCAGCTGTTCCAAAGCCTTAACAGCTTCTTCATGGAAGCTTCCAGAACAGAATCAGTCAAGATGTCAGAGTAATGTCAATTAACTCAACCGAGTAGCTTGTTTGTTCCTCTGTGCATCTAGA